AGGCAGGAGACTGGCTTGAGCCCAGGAGTTGGAGGTTGCTGTGAGCTGTGATGCCACAGCACTCTACCCAGGGGGACAGCTTGAGGCTCTGTCTCAAAATAAATAAATAAATAAATAAATAAAAGGGAAAAATCCACAGACGTCAACTTTATTACAAGGAGATAGATAATCTGTATTGCTGAATCCCTAGAAACCATTAAGCCACTTGCCACTGACTGGTATTCCTATTCAGAGTGAGTCTTTCATGAAAGAAAGACATTTTTGTTGTGGTGCCAAGAAAACTGGCACCCAATAGATTTTATTTCATCCAAAATCACTAAAAAGGTGAAACTATATAATGAGTAAATTCTGTTTTAATAATTTCAGGTTGGATATGCTCATGCACTCATAGTCTCAGCTCCCTGGGAAGCTGAAGCAGGAGGATCACTTGAGAAGAGAAAACAAAAGACCTAAAATATATAACAACTTTAAAATAAAATCGTACTTTCGAATGACCTTATATTCACACGAATTTATGGTACGTATAGAACATACTGACGTGACCCTCCTGTGAGCCCACACGCCCAACAAAGTTTATCTTAAAGGGACATAATCTCTAGAGTATAAGAGAATAACTAGTATGAAGAACATGTACGTAATTCCCATCTAGATTCAAGAGTCACTGCTTTTTTCAAAGCAACGCTCCTTACACTGGCCTGAGCTCTCCACGCCTCAGGGTGTTGTCCCTATGAAAGTCTCTCAAGGTCAACTCAGGCTTGAAGTTCCCCCTCCGGTTGAAGGAGGAACAGAAACAAAGAATTTCTAGTGTGTTCTGTTAGGCATCAGCCTGAAACTACACATTCAGCCCAGGGAGGGGTTTGCAATTCATATTGTAGTTTGCCTCACCTGCAGACATTCCTGGCGTGTTTAAGGTAATCACAGAACTTAATTTTAATTGCAGGAACGTCCCTGGATTTAATCCCAGCAGACTTTGATGCTCCCAGCCAGATTCCATTTCCCTGATCCCTCAGTTGCTCCTAAATCCGTGAAACTGGGTACCATTTTTTTGTTGTTTTGTTTTTTTCTTTTAGAGCACAGCCTTTTTAGGCTTAGGCTAGGGCCATCCGGGCTGCAGCCTCTCCTGCGCCTGTAGACCTGGAAGCTGTGGTGGTGGAAAAAGGGGACTGCGTGGCTGGTGAGTTTCCTTTTTCGGATTGGGTGTTCACTTCGCAGTCCCCCGTGCTTTTATACACCGAATTGGCCTGCAGAGCCCTTAACTCCCTGCACAGTTCCTTCGCCTGGAATAAATTCTCGTCCCAGGGGTCGCTTCCCTGTGAGCTGAGTCGCCTCAGGTGGGTTGGGTCCCCAGACTTCTGCGCTTTCACACTCTGTTCCTCCTTAAAGCCCTTCAGTGATCCCTGCACTCCCCTGGGGCCCTCAAAAGTCCTCACCCAGGACAGCAAAAGTCCTCACCCGGTTCGGCTGTTCCTGCCAATCAGAGCTCAAAGCCGTTCACCAGTGTACCCAGAGATGAGACCAGGAGAGGTCCAGGCCTAGTTTAATGAAAGGGGACTGAGATACGTCCAGACAAAGGTGGTTACTGCAAGGAGAGTGGTTTGGGGTTTGTTTGCATAGGGGTAGGAAGATTCCACAGCTTGCTAAAAGGGGTTGGCTGGCTATGGTCTTTCCAGCAGAACACTTGGGATGGAGCCGGCTAGGTCTTTTATTCTGGGGAGGGGAGATGGAGAAGGGTTTAGTCACATAACAGGGCCCCCAGGCCTTGCTGGAACCCTCCCTGAAGGGCAGTGTTACAGCTCCAACCCTGGAGGATCCATGTCCTATGCTTGGCCTTGGGGTTCTGCAGACCCCACCTCTGCCCTAATCTGCCCCCTCAAACACATCCTGCCATTGTCCTAGACAGTGCTCCATAACCACTTCTGCTAGGTGCAGGTTGGGACAGGACAGCAGTACTTGTCATATGATACCTAATGTCCTTTAATCCCTAACTCTCATGAGCTCTTCATGTAAGCATGTTATTCCTGTTTCGTTGTTTGTTTTTGCAGTTTTTGGCCGGGACCAGGTTTGAACTGGCCACCTCCAGTAGATAGAGCTGCTGGAGCCCTACTCCTTTGAGCCACAGACACTGCCCTTCCTGTTTCTTTTCTTTTCTTTTCTTTTTTTCTGAGACAGTCTCAAGCTGTCACCCCTGGGTAGAGTGCCGTGGCATCACATCTGACAGCAACCTCAAACTCTTAGGCTTAAGCAATTCTCTTGCCTCAGCCTCCCGAGTAGCTGAGACTACAGGCGCTCACCCCAACACCTGCCTGTTTTTTGGCTGTAGTTGTCATTGTTGTTTGGCAGGCCCAGGCTGGATTTGAACCGGGCAGCTCCTGTGTATGTGGCTGACGCCCTAGCCGCTTGAGTTATAGGCCCCAAGCCATCCTGTTTTATATTTTTGAATGTGTGGAGTAAGAGACACTGAGTGCAAAAGAGAGGAAACAGAAAAACTTAGAGGAAGACTGAGGTACACGCATGAATGCTGCCCAATTGAGGACCTGGGAGGGATTTGCAATGAGACAAGAGAGTGAAAGCAGAAGGCAAGACACCAGCAGGGGGAGAACAGTCCCTGAAGCAATTTAGAGAAAACCTAGATCTCCTGACACATGAAGGACAGCGACACAGGGAGAGGCCAGCAAATGGGGAGTCGCCTCAGACAGAGAGTCCTGGGAGGGCAGGAATGATTGGGAGTGAGGGCAGACAGCAGCCTGGTGCTGGGACACCAGGAGGGGGCACCTGGTGACAAGGAGAGCAGAGAAGGAACCAAAGCTGGATGGGAGAGAGAGAAGGCAGGGTATGGGACAAGGAAGAGGAAACTTGAAAAGGAGAGCAGAAAGGAAGCAGAGATGGGGAAGAAAGAGGGAAAGATAACGTGAGATAAAGAAGGAATAGAATAAAGAATGAGAGAAAGAGCAGGAGAGAGGGCAACAGAATGAGGAGCAGAAGCCCAGGGGAAAAACATAGAGGAGAAGGGAAAAGCAAGAGAAGGTGAGGATGAGAGGATTGTAGAGAATGAGGGAGGGAAACACAAGGATATGAAGACAGGGCCCCTGAGCCCAGATGAGTCTTGAGGTGATTGTGATGATTAAGTTGTAACTTAGTGTTTCCCCTATTTGTGATCCAATAAGTTTACCATTTGCTGCAAAGATACAGATGAAGTTGAGAATTGAATGATGCCTGTCCGTAATGCTTATGCATAAAATAATTCCCAGCCTCACAGGCTATCCTCCACTTGTAGCCAGGATTCAGCCAGCAGGCACTGAGTTGACTCATACCATTATGGGTCATCCTCTTCCCTTTTCCTGAGATGGGGTAGGGAGTGGGGCAGTGTATGAGTTCTGCTTTCACGATCAATACATCAGTGAGCCTTCAACACACAATATAGCACCTCTGGTCCCTATACTATGTGGGGGTCCCTCCACATCAGCATGCAGGTGTCCATCACACACCCATAGGGTCACCCATACGGAAACTCGGTTATCACACTGTGTGGATGTGGCATTAGATCTCCAGTTTGTCAGGCTCAGTCCTGAAAAGCTGTAAGTTGTGTCTTGTATAACTCTTTCCTCATATTTTTGTAATTTGATAGAGCTGTTCACACACTTAGGAAAACCTTTTCTGTAGGTTGACTCATTTGATACAGAAATATTCCAGAGCACATACGTGGACAGAAGCAAGCACCATTCTCACAGATTAATGAAAACCTAGAATGGGGGTTGGAAACCATAATATTTATCTGCATCTGAAGGGAGGGACAGTTGTGGGGACTCAGTCTTTGTCTTGTGGGATCTGACCCTATCCACAAGTCAGTACTATCAAAATTGAGTGAGATTATCAGGCAGCCACCTGGGGGTCTCCCAGAGTAGAGGTCACTGAGTAAAACCACACACATTAGTGACTAGAGAGAAAATATTATTTCATGTTCAGTATGAGTAGTTTTTCTATTTCCTACATTAAAGGGAAGACATTTCGTAACAATATACCCTCCCTGTCTCAGGACCTGAGAGCTCTACTCAGTAGTGACAGGGAATGGTCTGACTCCACTTCTGGCCCTGCCATTGTGCACAATTGCGATTATGCACATTGAGACTCAGAGTCTCATGGTGGCCTGCATCCTGTCTATACTGCTTAATACATATTTAGTTTTATTTTCATTTGTATATTAACTTTTTTTTTAGACGATATCTGTTGCCGCAGGTAGTATGCCCTGGTGTCATCATAACTCATAGCACTTTCAAGCTCTTTGGCTTCAGAGATCCTCTTGCCTCAGCCTCCCAAGTAGCTGGGAGTTGAGGGGCCTACCACAACACCTTGCTAGTTTCTATTTTTAGTAGACACTGGGTCTCACTGTTGCTCAGCCTGTTTTAGAACTCATGAGCTCACGGGATCCTCCTGCCTTAGCCTCCCAGAGTGCTATGATTACAGGCATGAGCCAACGATCCTGGCCAAGACATTCTATCTTAACACATTGTTGACTGGTAATTTGGGGCAGACGGAATCTTGTGTCACTGGTTATTATTCCAGTGACAAAATCAAGAAACTTTTACAAAATCATACTTTATCCCATGTTTTAAAAATTGTTAATACCTCATGCTGGTGCAAATGTGAGTTAACCTGTGATGGGTCAGCAATATGTTCGGTGCATTTTTCTATTAAAGATGGAGAAAGTACATGTTTACATGAAACAGGTGGGACAACACATTTTGAATCTTTTTTTTAATTAAATAATAACTATGTACATTAATGCAATTCTGGGGTACAATGTGGTGTTTTCATATACAATTTGAAATCTTTTCATCAAACTGGTTAACATAGCCTACATGTCATTTTCTTAGTTATTGTATTAAGACAATTATATTCTACTCTTAGAAAGATTCACTTGTACCCTTGTAAGATAAACCATAGAAGTGATCCCTCCAATCACCCTCCCTCCACCCATTTCCCCCTCCCTTCTCCCTCCCTCCTCCCCGTATACTTAGGCTGTTATTAGGTTATAGATTTCATATGGAAGCTATAAATTAATTTCATAATACAGCTGTGTACATTGGACACTTTTTCTTCTATTCCTGTGACACTTTGCTAAGAAGAACACTTTCCAGTTCCATCTATGTGAACCACATTTTGAATCTTAACTTTAGACATAAGAAGTAGTATGCAGGACTGCGCCTTGGCTGACTGTGCTCCGAGGGCCTCTTTTCCCCAGGTTGTTCCTGCCTCACGGTGTTTACATTGGAGCTCTCTTTTTGTAGAAGTCTTTTCCCCTCAGCTGCAGGTCACATGCACCCTTTCACCTTCTTACTGGGGACTTCTGCCCGCTATTTAATATTTAATATTTCAGCCACATCTTCACTCCCATCTGGACCCTCCTGGTTCACTTTGGCCAACCTGACATTTTCTTTTGGGTCTCTCACCTTTTACTTTCTGAACACTGGTGACAAGAAGTCTCCAGGGGGACAACAGATCCAGAAGGAAGGAGGGGTCCTGGCCTTGGCCCTGTGAGCAGAACTCAGCCTGGTGTGACATTAGAATCCTGAGGCTTTTTTCAAATACATCTCTCATGTCCCCCCTGCCATTTCCACAGTCAGGTTGGGACCCACCTTGAGTAATGGTTCCAGTGACCAGGTGTGTCCAGTCTTTGTACAGCACTGAGCAACAAGGCTTTGTGTTCTCCAATTCTGATGGCTGAGTTCAGAGGGGTGAGGGGCTGTGCCCTGGAGTGGAGCTCAATACAGTTCAGCTCCCCAGTGCTACAGGGTCTATGGGGGCTTCAGCACGAGAGGGCCTAGGTCTGCTGAAGGGGTCAGAGAATGACTAGTTCTCATCCTGTAGGAGTGTTGACCCTGCATCCCCCTGGTGTTATGGACAGGAGAGAACCATGTTCTTTTGTTTTTTCTTTCTTTTTTTTTTTTTGAGATAGTCTCCCTTTGTTGCCCCCGGTAGAGTACTGTGCTGACATAGCTCACAGCAACCTCTAACTCTTGAGCTCAAGTGATTCTCTTGCCTCAGCCTCATGAGGAGCTGGGACTACAGGCACCCAGCACAACACCTGGCTATTTTCTTCAGAGATGGGGTCTCGCTCTGGCTCAGGCTAGTCTCCCAACTTGGGAGCTCAGGCAATCTGCCCACTTCGGCATGAGCCACCTCGCCCAGTCTGAGAACCATCTCCTTACATAGGAAGTCTTTCCTCTCCAAGAGATCCTTTCAACAAAAGGGGAGTGTGTTGACTGAGTGAGTATTAAACATCCTATTTTTTTACAATAGGGATTGATTTTTAAAGATTGCCTTTGGTGAAGAAGCTGAGATTAAAGGTAAAAGGAAAGAAGAGGAATCTAGAATGGTTTCTACTCAGGTACAGTGATATTCTCAGTGGATCATCATGTGTCTTTCCTTTCTCAAATGCTGGCTTTGGAGTTGCTGATCTTCTCTGACTCTGAGCTATTCTGAGGGTTGCTCCCCCTCACCCATGCCTTCTTTCGTTTATTCTCATTTCCACTTTGAAGCCATGTCACTGTGCCCTAGTGACATGAACTCATGAAGAGGCTCCATTAGACAAAGTCCTAGGAAGGGCTTCACCCAAGCCCTAGGTTAGAGAGGAGGTATGGTCCTGGGTTTCAGTGTAGTAGGGCAGCAGGGACTATTCAAGGGCTGCATTTGGTTGTACTGCCAGTTCTCTGTACATAAGGATTAGACCAGCTGCACATGGAAGTTATGGGGTAACATGGTACATTCTGGAAAGGGTACCTTGTTAGAAGACATCTTTCTTTTTTTTTTTGAGACAGAGCCTTAAGTTGTTGGCCTGGGTAGAGTGCTGTGGCATCACAGCTCATAGCAACCTCTATCTCCTGGGCTCAAGCACAGCTCCCAAGTAGCTGGGACCACAGGCGCCTGCCACAACGCCTGGCTATTTTTCAGTTGTAGTTTTCATCGTTGTTTGGCGGGCTCAGGCTGGATTCAAACCCAGCTGCTCAGGTGTATGTGGCTGGCACCTTAGCCACTTGAGCCGCAGATGCCAAGCTAGAATACATCTTTCTGCTTGATTTTCTACTACATTTCAAGCTAAATTGGGTGAATCCCTGTGCTTCTCATGCCAAATTGTTTATTACCAAGAATAATAGGCTCGGCGCCTGTGGCTCAGGTGGCAAAGGTGCCAGCCACATACACCCAAGGTGGCGGGTTTGAATCCAGCCTGGGCCTGCCAAAACAACAATGACGGCTGCAACCAAAAATAGCCGGGCATTGTGGCAGGCGCCTGTGGTCCCAGCTGCTTGGGAGGCTGAGGCAGTAGACTCGCTTGAGCCCAGGAGTTAGAGGTTGCTGTGAGCTGTGATGCCACGGCACTCTACCCAGGGGGATAGCTTGAGGCTCTGTCTCAAAAAAAAAAATGAAAAAGAAGAATATAAACAACAGACGCAGTTGTTCCCCCCTTTAATCCTAGCACTGTGGGGGGTCGACGTATGTGGATAGCCTGAGCTAACAGTTTCCAGACCAGTCGGAGCAAGGGTGAGACCCCTTCTCTAAAAGTAGCTGTAGGTTATGGCAGATGACTGTAGTTACAGCTACTTATTTGGCTGAGGCAAGAGAATCACCTGAGCCCAAGAGTTTGAGGTTACTGTTAGCTGTGACGCCTTGGCACTCTACCGAGGATGACAAAATGAGATTCTGTCTCACACATAAAAAAGAATAGTATGGACAGACAGACGGGCATCAATGATACCGAATGTTCTATCATATTGAATCTATATTATAAAACATGAGCAGGAGGTTGGTTTAATCATTCTGAGTGTTTCCTTTTGGCAGAGGCTGTGCTGTTTCTTCAAGGACTTTTTTTTTTCTTGAGACAGTCTCACTTTGTTGACCTTGGTAGAGTGCCATATCATCACAGCTCACAGCAACCTCCAACTCTTGGGCTTAAGCCATTCTCTTGCCTTAGCTTCTCAAGTGACTGGGACTACTGGCAACCCCCACACCACCCAGCTATCTTTTTGTTACAGTTGTCATTGTTGTTTAGCTGGCCTGGGCTGGGTTTGAACCTGCCAGCCTCAGTGCATGTGGCTGGCACCATAACCACTGTGCTACGGGCACTGAGCCCACATCAATTTTTTTAATCACTTTTTGGTTTTCTGTGAAGTAAAGATTTCATTACATCTCAATATGGTGAAACACATTTTCCATTTTAGGGACCCTTGATATTCAGGGAGGTGGCTATAGAATTCTCTCAGGAAGAGTGGCAGTACCTGGATCCTGCTCAGAGGACTTTATACAGGGCCGAAATGTTGGAGAAATACAGGAACCTGGTCTCCCTGGGTGAGGATAACGTGGCTCTCACAGTTGGGCTCTACCCTGTATGTCTTTGTATTTTCTCTTCTGTGCCTTGTGGGAACCACCGCATAGCTTAACTGAGTGAAAAGCTCTATGTCCTTTCTGGACTTTCAGCGTCCCATTTCCTCAGCTTTTGTGCCTGCTGTCGTACTAGGGCCTACCTATGCAAAAATCCCTCATGGTAGATTTTTTAGAAAAATACCTAGTTCCCTATTTTCTACCCAGGACCTTTGATTCAGTACTTCCTGACAGAGAGCTCGATGTTTGTATAGCACAGATTCATACACATTGAGAAGGCGGCCTTATGTGGATGAATTTGTGAAATTTGTTTTCTTTTTTTTGAGACAGTCTCACTTTGTCCTGCTTGGTAGTGTAACATGGTGTCATAACTTATAGCAGCCTCAAAGTCTTGGGCTCAAGGGATCCTCTTGCCACAGCCTCCTGAAAAGCTGGGACTACAGATGCTCCCCACAACACCTAGCTATTTTTTTAGAGAGGGAGTCTCACTCTTGCTCAGGCTGGTCTCAACTCCTGAGCTCAAGCTATCTACCTGCCTCTACCTCCCAGAGTGCTAGGATTATAGGTATAAGCCACTGTGCCCAACCTGAGAAATACTTTGCTTGATCCATTTATAATGTCCTCTGTCTTACCTAACCATAGGGTTTTAATTTTGCCAAACCCACAGTACTTCTTGATTCTTTGTTTTTATAAGCAGGACTCTTGCTTCCTGACCTGACCATTCTCTCCATGTTGGAGGAAGGGAAAGAGCCCTGGACTGTGGAGATTGAAGTGAAAACACCATGTAATTCAAACTGAGAAGAATGGATCAAAGATGTGCACTCCGATAAGAGCTCAGGTGGGCACAGTGGAAGCCATACTGCTATACGGTGTGTGGGAAAGGTTGCAAATTAGGGGTTCGGTTATGAACAAAAGGTTAAATCCTGTGAGTTCTAAGCAGAAATCTTTGTCTTTATGTACCACTCTGTTCTTTGGATGTGGAACAGTTGATTTTTTTTCAACCTGCAGTAGTTCTCCAGCTGAAACAGAGATCAAGGCAAATTATTTGATTGCATGACACCTCTGTGATCTTTTTGGTCCTCTGTCTGGGTCACTGCAGGGCCATTTCCAAGGATCTCTTTTCCCTATTGTGTGTCTTTCTGTATTTGACTCCATCTGGTCCTTAGTTCCTTGTCCATGAAGGTGAAAGGAGATACTGCAACAGACCCCACATGTTGACCTCTTCAGGTGCCATCCCATTTCCTGTACTTGGAAGGCCTAATCAGGGCCTGGGAACACACTGGCTGCGCTTTTTTTTTACATCTGGAGCCAGGGGACATGGGGAGCTGTCTCCAGCCCTCTCTGCCTTTTCAGGTCAGTTGGAGATTAAGAGAAAGCCAGAGTGTTCATCGCCTTCTCCCCTGCCACTCAACACAGGAAACCCTTTGATGGCCACTAAAAACTGGTTGTTGGTGGGGAAAAACCCAGCACATTTTGCTGACCAGAAGAGAGCTTCCTGTACTTGATTTGTGACCCTGTCTGCCTGAGTTATGGTCACCCAAGCCTGCTCCCATGTCATACTCCACTCACAAGTAGCAGGTTGTCACTTCTTCTTTTAACCAAACAGATGCGAGGTGGAGGTGTGTTGAGGCCCTGGTCTGGTGTGATTATTTTCAAGGCTGGCTCACAGCTCTCAGTGACACACTTTCTGTGCTTGTGGTTTATTATAAGGGACATGTGAGACAATACAGATGAACAGCAGATGAAGACACTCACAGGGCAAGGCTCCTTGCAGCTTCACTGGATACCCCACCCTCCACACACATCTATGTGTTTTGCATTTGGAATTTCTGCTAACCCCACAGGCAGGGATTTTTATTGAGGTGTCATCATGTGGGCATGATTGATGTTGACTCAGCCTTCAGCCCTTTCCCCTTTCTAGGGGATGTTGGCTGGGCCTGAAAATTTCAGCCTTTTAGTCACAGTTTTGTATTTCTACTGACCAGCCCTTATGGAGGACACCATTGAAATAGACTTATTAGAACATGTCACATTCCTGTCACCCAGGAAATTTCAACGTGTTAGGAGTGTATGTGAGGAAACTGGGAGGAGACCAGTGTATGTGTTTCTTCCTATTTCACAAGATCCCTGAGCCACTCTATAATTATGCTTTGCCCACACTTTGCTGCTGTGTGTAGGTGGGGACAAGATTGGCTCTTATGAGATTTGTGTATTTATTTATTTAGAGACAGAGTCTCAAGCTGTCACCCTGGGTAGAGTGCCGTGTTGTCACAGCTCACAGCAACCTCTAACTCTTGGGCTTAAGTGATTCTCTTGCCTCAGCCTCCCAAGTAGCTGGGACTACAGGCACCCGCCACAACGCCCAGCTATTTTTTGGTTGTAGTTGCCATTGTTGTTTTAGCTAGCTCGGGCCAGGTTTGAACCCACCAGCCTCAGTGTATGTGGCCAGCGCCCTACCTACTGAGCTGTGGGCGCTGCTGAGATTTTTACTGAGTAAGAGGAAAAGTGAGGGGACAGGAGGGCCCTGTGTTAGATCCCCAGGTTCGTGTGGTGAGCATAGCTCACTGGAATGATGGGTGTGGTTCCTACTCCACTGTCATTTGTTTCAGCCACCTCTAGTCTCATGTTTTCCTTTTTGCATATTATACATGATTCTGGTTTTTATATATTTAATTGTCTGTTTTACTATTGTGTATGTTTTTCTTTGTATTTATTCCTTTTGTAGACTGTCCTGTCTAGAATGTGATGAGATGCCATACCACTGTGTCTACTGATTTATATATTTTAGAAGATGTCTTTGTTCAGTATAGAGGTTGTAGCCAGCAGGAATTTCCTTAAAACCTACAAAGTGGAAAAGGTTTACTTTGGTAATTTATTTATTTATTTTTATTCTTTGGTAATTTAAATATTTGGTTTTCTTCCTAGTACATACTATTAAAGTGTGCTTTTGTCATTTACTTCAGTTTATGACCTGGGAGTTCTTTTTTTTTTTTTTGAGACAGAATCTCACTGTGTGGCATCACAGCTCCCAGCAACCTCAAAGTCTTGGGCTTAAGCGATTCTCTTCTCTCAGCCTCCCGAGTAGGTGGGACTATACATGTCCACCACAACGCCTGGCTATTTTTTTGCTCCAGTTGTCATTGTTGTTTAGCTGGCCTAGACCGGTTCAAACCTGCCAGCCTGGGAATATGTGGCCAGTGTCCTACCCACTGAGCTTCGGGTGTCACCCTGGGATTTTTTTTTAAGACAGAGTCTCACTTTGTCATCCAGGTAATATGCAGTGGTGTCATCCTATCTCACTGCAATGTCTACCTCCTGGGCACAAGCTATACTCCTGCTTCAGCCTCTCAAGTAGCGGGAACGACAGGAGCCTCCCAGGATACACGGTTCATTTTTTATTTTTAGCAATGACGGGATCTTGTTCTTGCTGAGGCTGCTCTCAAACTCATGAGCTCAATGTTCCCTCCTGCCTGGGCCTCCTATAGTGATCAGATTGCAACTCTGAGCCCCCACACCTGCTGAAATAGTGCTGCTCTCTTTTTTTGCAGTTTTTGGCCGGTGGCCGGGTTTGAACCCGCCACCTCTATATATGGACCTAGCACCCTACTCCTTTGAGCCACAGGCAGTGCCCCTGCTGCTCTCTTTTTAATTGAGGTTTGTATATATCCACTTACAATCCTGTCCTTAATTCTTTTGAATATATGCCCAGATGTGTTATCATTGGCTTTTAAGATAATTTGGTATTTTTTTTCTGTAGACATAGTCTCACTATGTTGCCTTCAGTAGAGTGCCAGTGGCATCACAGTTCACAGCAACCTCAAACTCTTGGCTAAAGCTATCCTCTTGCCTCAGCCTCCCAAGTAGCTAGGACTTCAGGCGTCCACCACAACTCCCAGCTGTTTTTTTTGTTGCATTTGTCATTGGTGTTCTAGCTGGCCCAGGCCAGGTTCTAACCCACCAGCCTCGGGTATGTGGTTGGCACCCTACCCACTAAGCTATAGGCTCCAGGTCAGCTAATTCAATTTTGAATCATCTGAGGAAATTTCATGCTGGTTTTCATAGTGTTTCCACCATTTTATATTCCAAGCAACAGGGCTCAAGTCTTTCTTTTTTCATGTTTTCACCAACCTTTCTTATGTTGGGGTGATTTTTCTTTTATTATTTTTGAAGATAAACATCCTAGTGGATATGTTTACCTTGTTCTTTGTATATTGATGTTTATCCAGGAAGTTATTGTTCCTTACAGTCTCATAAATCTTTTCAGCTATCATTATTTTTTGCTCTTATATTTACAATAGAAAGTAAACTTTGCTTTTCTTTGAGACAGAGTCTCACTTTGTCACCTTCGGTAAAGTGCTATGCTGTGTCTTCATAGCTTATAGCAACTGCTAACTCTTGGGTTCAAGCCATTCTCTTTCCTCAGCCTTCCAGGTAGCTGGGACTACTGGCATCCACCACAGTACCTGGCTATTTTTAGAGATGAGATGGGGGTCTTGCTCTTGCTAAGGCTGGTCTCAAACTTCTGAGCTCAGGCAATCCACTCACCTCGGCCTCCCAGAGTGCTAGGATTACAGGCTTGCGCCTCTGGGTCTGGCCTCCATTAAGTAAAGTTTTGAGGTCATACACAGTAAGGGTCCACCTTCATTTTTCTTCTGTGTATTCAGTTTCCTTTGCACTATTTGTTGAAGGGATTGTCCTTTCCCCTTACATGTTAGTATCACCCTGACTGACCATCATTAGACAATGTAGTTGAGGGATTCTGACTGGTTCTCTAGGTCATTGCTTTCTACATCTGTCTCCATGGCAGTACTGCACTGCTTAGATAAGGTGGCTGTGTGATAAGTTTTGTAATTTATGTAACATGAGACCTCCTGCTTCATTTCATTGAAGTTTCTTTTCCTATTGACAGCAAGCTGTCTCAGTTTGTTGCCCGCAGTAGAGTGCCGCAGCATCACAGCTCACAGCAATGTCATACTCTTGGACTCAAGCAATTCTCTTCCCTCAGCCTCCCAAGTAGTTGGGACCATAGGCACCCACCATGCACAACACCAGGCTATTATTTAGAGATAAGGTCTTGCTCTGGCTCAGGCAGGTCTCAAACTCATGAACTCAGGCAATTCACCTGCCTCAGCCTCCCAGAGTGCTAGGATTACAGGCGTGATGTGTGATTTCCTTTTAGTTAAAGGATACATTTATTTCTCTAAGAAGTTTCATTGGGATTTTGCTAAGGATTTCACTGAATCTGTGGGTCACCTTGGTTGTTATTGACATTTAACAACCAAAGCATGAACATGGGTCTTTTTTTTTTCTAATTTCAGGTTAATTGATGGTATAAACCATTAATTTACATTGTATGAGTTTGTTAGGTAAATTCTAAGTTGTAGTTGAGCCCTTCACCCAGGAGGTATGCCACTGTATGCCTACAGTGTGCCCAAAAGTTGTGAGCTTACAAAATCCTCTTCTTCTTCTCCACTTCTCCCCCACTTGAATTTTATTATGTTTATCTCTCATGTGTGCATTCATGTGCTCATCTACTGGTGTCAGATTAGTATTGAGTACATGGGATGCTTGCTTTTTTTTTTGAGGTAGAGTTTTAAGCTGTTGCCCTGGGTAGAGTGCTATGGTGTCACAGCTCACAGCAACCTCAAACTCTTGGGTTCAACCTCAATTCTCTTGCCTCAGCCTCCCAAGTAGCTGAGACTACAGGCACCCACAACAACACCCAGCTATTTTTTTATTGCAATTGTCATTGTTGTTTAGCTGGCCCAGGCTGTGTTTGAACCCGCCACCCACTGTGTATGTGGCTCACACTGTAACCACTGTGCTATGGGGGCCAAG